TTTGAGTTGTTAAGTGGTTTGCCAGGTGCCGGCCAGTGCGGGGTGACTCAGAACTTCCCCCGGGGCGGGCCGCTCACAGGAGCTGGGTTCTGGTATTTTTCCATGGCTCCCCTTCTCAACGGGCACGCCAGGTAAACAACGCAGGTGGAGGGCGCCAGGTCCCGGCACACCTGGCCCGAGCAGGGGGAGGGGTCCCGGGGGTGTGCTGACGTTCCGGGGGTGTACTGACGATCCGGGTGAGCCAGGCCGGCTCCTGAGATGCTCTCTGCAGAGAGCAGCAGCGTGGAGAGTGCTGGCCCGTGACGGAAAACACGGATGAGCTCGGGGGGAGGGGCTAGGAAAAACAGGACACCTCCAACCCAGAGAGGAAGAGGGGTACAGACAGGTCCCCGTAAAGGCACACAGTGGCCATGCCAAGGGAATCCCAGCGCAGATGCCACCGGGACCCACGCGTCCGCTTGGCAGACGTGGAAAAATCCCTGCCCCCCATGGACAGAGGGTGACCGTCCCTCCCCACCCCACCAGTAAGATGAGCTGGATTGGATGAGCGTCACACATCACAGCTGGGAGATTCGGGGTCTGGGATTGCTCCCCACACGTGAAAACAAGGATAACGGCCAACCAGCAAAGTCACATCAATGGCAGAACAGGGGACTTGCCACCCCCGCACCGACCTCTGTATTTTGCTAAATACTTGCTGGGGATTATCTGTGAATCTCTGCAGCATTCCGCGACCTGCTGTCTTCGGCGATCCACAGAAAGGAACATTGTCGTCATAATCGTCTTTTCTGCTTGCGCGCTGTCGCCCCAAATACCTCTTTCTAATGACAGAGCTTTTTGTTTTATGATTAGTGGCGCATTTTGCTCAAAACGAAAGTGCTTTGGTTGAGGACACACGGTGACATTAATTCTCAGGTCGATGTCAGGCACTGCAGTGGGCCCTGGGGCCACGGGCTTCTTCCTCGTTTTGGGACGCGTGGCAGCCGGGGAGAGGGCGTCCTGAGTGTCCGCGTGGGGCCGGCCGTCACGTTCGTGTCCTCAGGGAACTCGAAGACCGTCTTCACTGCTGACTTCTTTCCGGCTTTCGCTGTTGGGGTTTGGCCTTGACCGACAGTCCAAGGAAACAAAGGGAACTAATCAAGGTGCGCCCCCTACAGGTTCCCTCCCAGCTCCAATCCTCCGTTTCTTTAACCGCCCCCCCCGATGTTGACGAAAAAGAAAAGCGATTCCAGGGATAAGTCGCAATCCGCTGGGATCTGCGTGCCACCTCCCGACGTGCTGTCCTCCCCCGTCCTCTGTGCCAACCCATCAGGGTGACCCTGTTTCCAGACGGATGGCACGCAGGACGGGCCAGCCGGTCACCCGCCCTCCAGGACCATAACCGGGACGTTCCCACGAGACGCGGCCTGGTCTGGCCGCGCAGTGCTTGGGTGGGGTTCCCAGCTGCGGTTCGCCCCTGGCTTTGTGGCCGTGGGGTTCTGCGGGCTGCGTTGACCCCGTTTCTGCGGGTGCAATGGGGACAGGCGGCCTGGGTCACCACGGCAGAGGACACGGCGGGTACCGCTCACAGACATCACAGCCAGGGCCTGCGGGTGGGCGGCGGGAGCGATAGTTCTGTGTACTGGTGACAACCACCGCAAAGGCACGTGACATCTCTGCCTGTCACGGGTTTGGGGCCAGCAGTATCTCCACGCCGCCTTGCCGCCCAGTCACCACGAGTGGCGTCCAGGGACCCCACCCCTGACAGAGCCGGGAGCCGGTCCCGCTCCGGGGGGACCAGCAGGCACAGCGGACACAGGAAGCCCGGCTCCTGGACCTGCTCAGTTGGGCAGCTCGGACTGAGATGGAAGGAAACGCTCCATGGCAGAGGGGGGTGACGGTCCCTCGAGGGCCTCGGCGGTGGAACCCCTCATCTCCTCCGGAGGTCCTGCCCGTCTGTCCAGGAGAAGTACAGCCAGGAAGGGAAGAAGGTGGATGCGGCCCCAGGTCGAGGTTCCCAGAGCAAGGAGCACGACCCTCAGATTTGACCCAGAGTCTCAGGGTCCTCCGAGCATGACCCTGGGACAAAGCATCTGCCACTGGCCTTCCGCGGTCTCCACGGTTGGCGTCCAGTCCCTCAGCCCGCATCTCTTCAGGAGTCTCCTCCCCGCTTCTGTCCTGGGCCAGGACCACAGGGCACTCACGTTGGGGCCAGGATGTGCTCAGACAGCGTGGCCTTGGACGTCCCAGCTGAGCCACCTGCACTGGGCAGGCAGGGGACACCCTCCGCAGCAGAGACAGTGTGGCTGCCATGTAGGATGTGTGGGAGCTGCCCGGGCCCTGCTCCTGGGTCCCGCAGGTGCCCCTCTGCCGATGACCACACCGCAGTCTGCAGAATCCCCTGGGAACTCCGAGTTTGTGACCAAGCCGAGGTCTAGTTTACGAAATGTCAGTGTATACCTAGTGCCCTTTTGTACCGACACTTCATTTCCGGGAATTGACCCAGGTCCACTCTTGTCCAGCTTCAGCCCATCCCCAATCTGAGTCTTTCCCTGGCAGAAACCGTGCCCAAAGCCATGCTTCCCCTCCTGCCCGACGGCTGACATCTCTCCGGCTTCGTCTGCCCTTGTCTGATGGATGGACGGGATGTGCAGAGATGAGGGCCCACGGGAGAAGCGAGGCGCTCACAGGGCTGAGGAGGCTGATACCAGCCTAGCTGAACGCACAGGTGTGGAAGCAACTGGGGGTCAGGCTGCCAAGGAGGGTTCGGGCCATGTGGTCGAGAGATTTCACAGCTTGACTGTGGGATCGAGACTGTTCAGCCTCATGACCTTCACCTACAAGAAGAGAATTTGCCCTTGAGGCTTTGGCTCAGCAGTTAGAACCTTGGCCTGCGGACCAAAGAGTCTCAGGTTCGATTCCCCGTGGTGGCTTTGATGCCTGTCCCGGTCGGGGTTGTGCGGGAGGCAACCAATCGATGTGTCTCTCTCACATCAATGTCTCTCTCTCCCTCCCTCCTTTCCACTTAATCTAAAAATCAATGAAAAATATCCTGGGTGAGGGTTAAAAGAAAAAGAGAGAGAATTTCTAATCCTATACAGTTGAGCTGTATCCAGGGATGTGGGCGTTCCATATTATTAAGCTATATATGGGAACGGGATATACTAAGATGTGTTATTGGGGGCAGAAGACCGAGTGTTCCAGTCGTAAATGGACGTTGTAGATTATCGAATGCTTTTCCCGCATCTATTGATAGATCATGATATTTCTTGCTTTGTTTTATTAATATGGGGTATCACATGGATAGATTTGCCTATGTTGAACCATCCTTGGGTCCCTGGAATGAACCCCACTTGATCATGATGTACAGTTTTTTTGGATGTATTGTCTTCAATTGGCCAGTACGTTGTTTAGAATTTTGCATCTGTATTCAACAGAGATATTGGTGTGTAGTTTGCTTTGTGTGTGTGTTATCCTTGCCAGGTTTTGGGCTCAGGGTTATGTTAGCCTCATAAAATGTGTTAGGAAGTGTTGCCTCTTAGTCAGTGTTCTGGAAGAGTTTGAGAAGGACAGGTATCCAATCTGTGACTATTTGGCAGAATTCACTAATGAAGCCATTGGGTGCTGAACTTTTATTTTGGGGGAGATTTTTGATGGTTGTTTCAATTTCCTGTTTATTGGTCTAGTATATAGATTTTCCAGTTCTTCATGATTCTGTCCAGGAAGGTTCCATGTTCAATGTTCTCATTTCTTCTCGGTTATTGAATTTGGTGGCATACATGTAGTCTTTCATAGTATTCTGGTATGACCCTTTGTATATCGGCGATGTCTATGGTAGCTTCTCCTTTTTCATGTCTGATTTTGTTTTTATGGGTCTTTCTTTTTCCCTTCATGCCTCCAGCAGTGGTGGGCATGTGATGCAACATACCAATCATGGATTGGACGCATGTGCCCTTGAAATCTGTATGATCCGATGAACCAATATCACCCCAATACACTTATTGGAAAATAAGTATATGAGTGATTTTTATGTGTGGGACTTTCAATCTCAATAAAATTACTATAAAATATTTTTTTAAAGGTATGTTATTGGATGACATTTTTTTCTTTATCTGCAAACAAACATCCATGCTGGTGTTCTCAGAAACTAAAGTGTAGAGCTTCAAACAGGAAACAGGCTATTGTGTCTCATACGCTGCCTTTGTCATTGAACCTCAAAGACTGGAGGTCACGGCATCTTAATGATTGGGCGATGGTTTCTTCTGTCTCTACCAACGACCCCGGCCTAGCATCATCTGTTGTAAAACATCACAACCAAATGGAAAACTGTGCCCACAATCTTCATCACATGGAGTGAGAAGGTTCCAGGCAGAACTTCCTATGTCAGGGATAAGAAATCACCGTCCCAATATCGGTTTTATACCGAGTGAATGTCACGCCATGCTCAGTGGTTTGTGTGCATTTCTTCACTGATTCCCATGACCTCATTCATGACACCTTGATGGTCAACCAAGGCACAGGGATTCTCTATTTTTTGTGCATGTCACACAGGCAGAAAAAGAAAAAGATAAGGCTTTTCAGGGGAGATCTGACCCCCAAGCTCAATCTCTCACGACTGCGAATTGGGTGAGGTCAAAAACCTGTAGAAACCTGTAGGGAGCCTCATGCATGTATGCATCAGAGCTTCTGACTAGGGAAGAGAGGTCTGAGTTTTTATTTGCCTGTTGCTCTGTCCTCTGTTGCCCAGCACACTGCAAGCCATGGCTCACTTTCTTACACACGGCTTGAAATCTTGATTATTTTATACACCTGTGTTTAGGTCACAAAGTCAAGGGCAAACTGGACTTCCATTGGAAACACATTTTCTCTTTTAGGAGGGACAGAAAGCTCCCAGGATGGCAGCATTGGGCTGTTGTGTGAGGGCAGATATTTAAAAAGTCTGTCCACACACACAGATGTGTTTTTAGTTTTCCTTTGGAATGTTATTTAATTTGTCAATATTTCTCTCTTTTGTTTTGCAGAACAATGGTCCCCTGGTTTGGTGTCAGAATCACAAGCAGTGTTCTAAGGTGCGTCCCCTACAACTGTCTCAATATTGTCTTTATGCTGTTGGGAATAATTACAGTGACAGGAAGTGGCAAAGGTGGTATGGAGAAATCACACATGCTCCTCACTCAGTTCCCACCAACGGCTGCACTGCATGCTTTTGTGGAACAATATGAAAGCAGAAATTTGACATTGCTTTTGTGCACACACAGACACACGCACACACACATGCACACACATGCACACAGCACACACAGTGCACACACACATGCACACAGCACATACACATGCACAGACACGTGTGTGCACACAGATGCACAAACACACACATTTCTGTGGGGTGTTATCACATGGATGGCTTCAATTCATATACCACCGCTGTAGTCAAGATGCATCAAGATACATGTATTGACATTTCTATCTACAACCTTCTTTCTCTCTTTATTCTGTAATTAAAAAAAAAAAACTCAAGGGAAAAACACCTGGTTAGACCAGGAGATTTACTATTTCACTGGTACCCAAGTTATTTTATATATAGTTTGTTTGTGTGGAAGAATTGCTGGCTAAGTAGTTAGATTCTTCAACTGAACAGCCTCACTTCCATTTCTGAGTATTTCATGTGGTGCACACCCTCGAAGGGGGTTGTATGCTCGCTCGTATTTTAACAGCTTAACTCTCGTACCTCAGTCCCCAGACCTCACCGTATGAGGGGACACTGGTTCTACTCATGAGTAGACTTTACATTTAGTTAAATAAATGAATGAAATCTAAACCTGCTCAAAATATGGAACAATTTTGGGGCCATAAGAGTGTTGAATGGGGCTTCCTTGGACAAGATTTATTGTGTGGACATGACTTTTAGACCTAAAATTGAAGCATTTTTTTATTTCATAACCAAATGTTGAAAACATCTGAACTATTTCTTTTTAAAAAATATTTTTTAGAAAGAGGAAGAGAGAGAGAGAAACTTCTTCAGTATGAGACCACAACATCAATTGGCTGCCTCTTGCATGCCCCTTACTGGGGATCGAGCCCGAAACCTGGGCATGTGCCCTGACTGGGAATTGAACTGGCAACCTTTTGGTACATGGCACGATGCCCAACCACTGAGCCACACCGGACAGGGCTATAACCAAACTTTTATGTGAGCAATACATAATACTAACATAGAATAATTATGCAGAACGTTCTAATTTTGAAACGTCTTTCCAACACATTATCTCCAAGTAAATGATTGTCCAATAATAGTCCTAAACCTAAAACTTTATCGAAATGATACATTTTCACACACACATGCGTTGTGTCATGTAACGTACACGGATGTTGTTAAAAATAGAACAGAATTATTCTGTGAACATGAACCAAGTTGCTGAAAGTAAGCTTTCCTGAGCTCTGAGTCTCTCCATCCTGGGAAGAAATGAAATGTCTGGTTTTTTCTAATATCATATGCACCTGTTCTGAAAAGACATTTTCTGGTACATTATATTTCCGTAATCCCCCTTATCCGCGGTTTCAGTTACCTGTGGTAAACCTTTGTCTGAAAATATTAACTAGAAGATCCCAGAAATAAACTTCATAAGTTTTAAATGTGGTGCCATTCTGACCATCCTGGTGAAATCTCAGCTGTCCTGCTCCATCCCCCACACCCCCAGAACATGAATCGTCCCTTTGTCCAGTGTCCCCGCCCTGTGTCCCCCTGGAGCCGTCCAGATGATCAGATGGGTGATCAGACAGAGAGGCCGAATTCACATGATTTTATTGCGATCTGTTGTTACGCCGATTCTGTTTTCTGATCCGTTACTGCTGTGCACCCGTTACTGTGGTGTTTGCAGTATCCCACGCGTCACCTGAGACCTTTGACGTACACCTTCCTACCTTTGCAAGAGACTCGTGCATTTACTTCCAAAAGAGTTACCCTGTAACATGCTGTTACCTGCAAACCTTGCGTCTAATGGTGGCTCTCTTGGTGACAGCCCCCTGTCTCTGGGGACCACGCACGGCCATTGTCTCCTTTGGGGGGCTTTAACTCACACACTCGACTTTGTTCCCCATTTGGCTTTGAGGTTACGAGTGGGAAGCGGTCACTTAGGGCCTGATCTTGGTGCCGGGATGGGGTGCTTTGAACCCAGCGGGGGTCCCGTCCTAATGAGGGCTATAACTCCACATTCTTAGTCACCTTCTAGGTTTATCCGGAGCCAAATTTAGAGCCCAGGAGGATTCGTTGTGTGCGCGTGAACATCTGGATGGCATCCTTGCACATCTGTGAGATTAATTGCATCAGGGTCAGACCTCTGAGAGGCACCTCACTGTGCTCGTAAAGGTGTTTGTTTTCTGTGCAGCGTGTTCCGATTTATGTGCTCACAACTGCAAATCCACAGACAGGGCCCAGGGAGAACCGATCTCGCAGGGGAGCCACGGACACTCGGGCCCCGTGAGATGCACGGTGGGAGGCGCCCTTCACTTCTGTGTGATCCTGAGAAACTGCAGATCTGCGTGGCAGCTGCTTTATGTAGTTGAAGACCTTGAGAGCGTTCTGTATACTTGCTGATATTCATGTCATTGTCCTTGACTGGCTATAATCCACGACAAGGACGGGGTCGATGTTTATTGAGCATCTCTTGCCCAACATATCGACACCTTTTGGAAAGGACCCATAAATTCCTAGGTGGAGTGAGCTCTGCCAACCATAGTCCAGAGATGTGTAGGTTTGTGCCTCCTGTAGAAAGAGTCTCCTGCGGAAAACTTGTCAAATGCAGCAATCAAGTCCCTTTATTTTGGACACCAGCGCTTTTATTTCCGTAAGTTTTATTTCCAGGACGTTATTTCTCAAGACAGAGTAAACAGGGCGTGGCGACCTGGGAAGAGAAGGGAGAAACACGCTGTTCTCTCCTTAAACCAGCGTCGGAATGAACGTGGGTACGCAATGCCTACGGACAGAAATTGTAAGGTGTGTGAAACTTTGGCTTCTTTCTCTTGGGAAAAGTAATCTGCTCCTAGAAAATCACATGAGTGTGCTTCATAGACTGCAGATTCGTCTGATTCGCCTGTAACATCCCGTCCGAAAATGGCATGATTGTAGGTACCCCGATGCCCATGAGCCTGGCTCAGCAAGAGAGGAAGTCTCTTGAGGGAGATTTGAGCTCTTGACCTTGAGAGTCTCTACGCGGGTGAAAATCGAGTGATCCCATGGTGGAGTTAGGGCTCAGGGCATCACGGAGCTGGTCACACACTGTTCCCTTGCCAGGCTACAAGAACGTTCAAACGCATAGCATCTCCGATGGAAAGACAGAAATGGAAACAAAATAACCAGAGGAAGAGAGAGAGGGAGTTTGAAATAGACACAGCAAAAAGAACATATAAATGAGACCGATAAACACCTCCTCTCCCAACCTCATTTGTTACGTGGAATGAGCACAGACAGCTCCCAGCAGAGTCCCTTCTGGCGCTAAAGCAGGTGGATGGATGAGTTCACGATTTAAACGATGAGAGGTTCCCCCCACCCCGCATCTGTCAGGGCGCCCTGGAATGCAGGCTCCCCGTTCTAATGGAGCCGCCCGCAGGGTAGGCACCCCCAAGTCTTCAGCTTTGCTTGGCCTCTGACTGTGATCCGTATGGACAGTGTTCTCTGCCTTCACGCTGCGAACTTGCAGCAAATGTCGTCGTGGGCTTTGGGGTGACCATCAGCTCCCCGAAGCTGGAACATCGCGGGGCGTGTGGGCCCAGAAACGAGCCTCGCTGCTCATGGGACAGGCCACGCGATCTCGTCTTTGGTTCACGGTGAACGAAGGGCCCCTGAAAACTGGCTTTAGAAACGGAACCTCTTGTGCACATGTGCAAAACACCTCCGTCGGATGCATGATGTTCTGGCTGTGGGCGGACAGATAGCGCCAAGTTGTCACGGGTACACGGGAAGGCGTGGAGCACGGGTGAGCGCCCCCTGGGGGCTGTTACGCTGTGGAGGAGACAGCTGGCTGTCGACAGCTGGGTGGGGAGGAATTGGGGGCATTGAACATGTGGTTTTCTGTGTTGCCTCAGCTTCCCCAAGGAAGGCTCCTGCCCCAGTAAAAATGGAAAAGTCTCACCGGAACATAGGGGTCCCCATGCAGTGTTCTGTTTTCATAGTTGCGCCTCTGTCCTGCGGGTAATCCTGGACCTGAAGGTCAAGCCTGGTTGTTCCTAACTAACCCTCCTGAGAGAGTGCATTCGTGTCGTTGCACAGTTGGCCTGGGAAACATTGTCGCTCTGTGTTTGTAAGAGAGGACAGTTACAGGAAAATAAATCCAGGTTTTAATTTCATCGCTGCTTTCCCTGGGCACACAAGGCTACACTCTTGCCACGTGCCTCTCCTGATACAAGGAACATAGGTCATTGCTGTGAACAAAGACAGTTTTCCTTTCTCCAGATCTTGCCTTTTAAATATTTGATTTGGAAGAACTGCTCTCGCCCTGTAAATCATTGCGTTCAACCACCTTGGTGTTTATGCCAATCGTTTGGGTCAGAGAAACTGCCTTGTAATCCGTTGTTCAAGTGTGCTCGTCTTTGGGCGATTCGAAGTGTGTGCGCGCACGGACGTGTGTTCAGTGTCTAAGTTGGCATTTGAAGTGTGTTTAATGTCTAAGCTGGGAATTTGGGGTGTGTATATTTGTAAGTTCACTGTCTAGCTGGGCATTTGGGGTATGTGTGTGTGTGTGTTCAGTGTCTAAGCTGGCATTTGAAGTGTGTATGTGTGTGTGTTTAATGCCTAAGCTGGGAATTTGGGGTGTGTATATTTGTACGTTCACTGTCTAGCTGGGCATTTGGGGTGTGTGTGTGTGTGTTCAGTGTCTAAGCTGGGAATTTGGGGTGTGTATATTTGTATGTTCACTGTCTAGCTGGGCATTTGGGGTGTGTGTGTGTGTATGTGTGTGTTTTGTGTCTAAGTTAGCATTTGAAGTGTGTATGTGTGTGTGTTTAATGTCTAAGCTGGGAATTTGGGGTGTGTATATTTGTATGTTCACTGTCTAGCTGGGCATTTGGGGTGTGT